TTTTGTTAAAATAAATTTTTTTAAATAAAGATTATAATGTTATATAAGAACTATTTCCAATATTGTTAAAAAGTTGTATCATAATCAGAAAAATGACGTGTGTACATAATAATATTTAATGTAAAACCCAAACTGTTATGAAATAATTAAATAAATTTTGAATAGTATTAAAAAAGTTCCAACATATAAGATAATATAATGATCAAAAATTTTCAAGAAATAATATATTAGAAACTAATTTATTGTATATATTTTGGTAGATATGTTTCAGGAATATAGTTTGGAAAACTCAATAAAAAACCCATCATGGATAACATTAAGCAACTCTATATGCAATATTATGCTCAAAAATGAGACAAATACAGCATTAACAACAGAGATTAACAGACAAGTCTATGAGATATCGCAAGCACAAGTTGTAGAGAAATTGTCTCTATTTGGAAATTGCATATCTGAATTACCCAGCAGACTTACGGAATGTTTAACAAATTTAGTTTATCTTAACTTAGCCAATAATCAATTAAATGCTTTACCAAACTCTATAAGTGTACTACAAAAGTTAATATATTTAAACCTTGATAGTAATAAATTTTTCAGTATTCCAAGTATTATTTGTGAATTAACTAGTCTACACACTTTAACAGCTCGAAATAATTGTATACAAGATACTCCAAAGAATTTAGAAAATTTAAAAAATTTAGAAAAGTTAGATCTTAGTTCTAATAAATTACGGGATCTACCAAGTTCATACTCAAACATGAATCGGTTAAAAAATCTATCACTTGCAAATAACCAGTTCAAAATAATCCCAAGCTGTATCGAAAATGGAATGTACACTTTGCAAGAGTTTAATTTATCACAGAATTCTCATGCAGAATTAAACGTTTTTCCAAAGAGTGTTGAATTAATCTCATTTTATGCTGAAAGAAATGCCACTTGTCCAATGTTTCCAAAATGGATACTGAATTCTAAATATAAGAATTTAGAAACAGTATCTTTAAATGGAACAGCATTTAAAAAATTCAATTTACTAGAAACACAGTTGAAATCAAACCTTAAAGTGTTATCCATGAAACAGTGCCAAATGAGTGAGACCATTATAGAGAAAATAATTGCTGAAATAACAAATCTTGAACGACTAATAATTGGAAATACAGGAGCTTATCAAAGAAACAACTTCTGGTATATGCCAATAACATCATTGAGAAAGCCATCTAGTCTCAAAGAAATTGATGTAAGTGGAACAGAGATTCCATTGATTCCTGAAATAATCAATAAATTTGTTAATCTATCTATACTGGATATTAGTTCTAATAATATTACTTGGTTACCAGAAGAAATTTGTTCACTGACAAAGTTGAATGCCTTAATGATAGATAACAATGAATTAGCCATGCTTCCTGAGAATATAGATACATTAATATCATTAAAAGAATTAAAAGCATGTCATAATAAGTTGTGCGATTTGCCAGATACTCTAGAAGCTTTGAAGAATTTGCAATATATTGATCTTTATAACAATGAATTTGAAGCTGTACCAAAAGTTTTAATGAAACTATCAGGGTTGATAGGATTAGACGTCGATCAAAACTATTTCTCAACTGACAATTTATTGGTAAGGACATAAATGAGACACAATTTCATAATTGGAAGTGAATTGTATAGACGCGTGCAATGGACATACTGTATTAATAGTGAAATCAATAGCTCAATAGGAGTACTCAATATGAAAGTATGAGAGCTATATTGAGAGATCGCTGGAGCAAAATTAATGAGAGACTCATTGGGACCAAAGAAAAATCACCTGAATTATTAGAGTCATTATCTGATACCTCATCATTCTCATCTTCATATTCAAGAACAAATAATTCATCACCTATGGGTTCACCGTAAGTTGTATATTTTTTTATTGAATTTAAATTTTTTCAAAATGTTTAATACAAAATATTAAAAGACATTTGTGATAAATTAATTTTTCAAGTGCTGTAAGGTATATTTATTCAGTACAAAGAAAAACTTTTGAAAATATAAATGAATTTCCAAAAATATTAAGCTCTTTATTGTAATGATGTATATACAATATATGTAAAATATAGTTTATAGCTATAAATCTGAATTAGAGTAAATATCTTTCAAACACATTTCTCCACACTTAAGATAATTACACTATCACATATGTACTTTCATTTCGTCCATAACATATACAAGCTTTCCATTTAATTATAAATAAAATAATCAGTTTATAAAATGTTGTATAGTAAATCTTTATTAATTTTACTATTAATTTTATGATGTTAAGAGTAAAATGAATATTTTATGAAAACATCATGATCATTTTCTGTGAAAGTTGAAAAAAAATTGAATGATTTATATTGAGAATTATACAGTTTTCTCTGCAAGTTATATATATGAAAAAACTAAAGATTGTTTCTGAAATCTGTCTATTTTTCTTTCAGATTTGAGGAGGATATTAATAATTATACGTCTGAACATTGGGATACGTCAGAAGATTCAGCTGATGAATTTGACCCCAATGGTAAGATAAACTAAATTTTATTTTGTATTTGTATCTATATATGAAATAATGAGACTGCAAATTTTATGCATTTACAAAATTACGCGACTAATAAGGACTATTGAAAGTTAACATAATATTTTGTATATGCATATAAAATGTAGGGTGTTTTACTTAAATATTTCTAGAAATATATTGTTCAACCAATTTTAAACCTTTTACCTTTATAACAAGCAAAGCACTCGTTATATATAAATTCTTTTGTATATTTTGTACTTTATTTTGAAAACTAGAAGAAAAGTAAAATTATAACTTTGGGTGCTGATATCTTGATAACGGGTTACACGAAAAATTTCATGTCTATGGTTTGGAAACCTCTGAATGTAGACTGCAAAAATAGTCACAATTAAGAATTGTGACGTGAACTTTGCAGGACGTTTCAAGGTCACGCCAAGGTCAAATACCTCCCTCCGTCATCTGTAACTTTTGTTCGACACATTTGTTCGTATCATTGATACTTTCCGAGATAATTCAGTGTTCTTGATTCGGTCCCCATACATTTTTTTTT